CAGGTCCCTGAGAAGTTTTTATTTTTATTTATTTCTTCAACCAGCTGCTGCCTTTGTTATTATTATGGGCACTTCTATTGGAATGGTTCCCGTCGCTACTATCACCACCACCACCATCACCCCATACCACTATCATCATCACTCCCACCATTTTTTCTATTACCATCACCATCCTCTCTATGACCTCAATCACCGTCACCATCACTATTATCGTCGCCATCACCACCTCCACCATGACTAACAACATCACCTACATCACCACCACTTCCATCGCCATAACCACCACTACCACCACTACCACCACCACTACCACTACTACCACCACCGCCGCTTCAAACCAATGAAGAAACTTATGTATGCCTTCAAATCAATCTTGTTTGCCTTTTGCTTTTAAAAATGCATTTTAATGTCCCATAAGAAATCCTTTGTCTGTTTACTCATAATAATTAAAACTTATAACCAACATTTCATATCTGAATTATGTTCAATAATAATTTAACTCCAAAATCTAACCTAACACCCGTCTCAAATTCTGAATTATATAAATCTCCTGCAAACCTTCACCTCTATTCTACAAGAGCTCCAAGGAAGCCTCTATTCCCAAGACACGAGCGTCCCGAAAAAAAAAGAATAGTTATTTCTGAAAGAGAAAGATATTTCTGAAAGAGCTTTGAAAGCGATCGTGTCATTTCCAATAAGTTCTCTTGGCTACGAGAGAACTAGACAGCGCGTCATCTGCCTGGCTGCCTTAATTCCTGTCATGATTAAACTTTTCTTCCTCAGTGTGTCCCAACGTGGCCGGGAAATTTTATTCGTAGCATGAGGCCTATTGCCGCAGGGGAAACACAGGTACCATTGCTTTCATTCTTATCCATGTGCACTGCTGCTAGAAATATAAGTGAAAGAGCTCTTATAAGAGAAGGTAGTAGGTTCCAGTTGGTGGGATGCTCTTGTAAGCTCTTCAACTCTACCAGCTTTTTGGAAAGAGTGCAAGCATATATAGTTTTAATGTGATATAGTTTCATTAAGCATATATAGTTTCAATAGATTGCAAGCAAACTATTGAGGTAGTTTGAGTGTGAAGAACATTTCAGAAAAGCTCTAAGACAACTTACCAGAAATATAAAGCTCTTCTAAAGAAATATAAAGCTCTTCTAAAGAAATATAAAGCTCTTCTAAAGAAATATAAAGCTCTTCTAAAGAAATATAAAGCTCTTCTAAAGAAATATAAAGCTCTTCTAAAGAAATATAAAGCTCTTCTAAAGAAATATAAAGCTCTTCTAAAGAAATATAAAGCTCTTCTAAAGAAAAATAAAGCTCTTCTAAAGAAATATAAAGCTCTTCTAAAGAAATATAAAGCTCTTCTAAAGAAATATAAAGCTCTTCTAAAGAAATATAAAGCTCTTCTAAAGAAATATAAAGCTCTTCTAAAGAAATATAAAGCTCTTCTAAAGAAATATAAAGCTCTTCTAAAGAAAAAAAAGCACCTCATAATGGGGATTAACCATTATTTGCCCTTATTTCCCTTTTTCTTTTTACTTTTAAAAATAAAAAAATAACGTTAATTTATTTTCTGATTTATAAGACAATAGTTTGGTGATTAAATTCACCCTCATTCATCAATTTCCGAACTTCGTTATTATCGTGACGAGTATCCAATTAAAATAACAATAACACTAATAATAGTAATAACATCCCGCCACTATGGAACGCATTCTGCCAGCCAGATGCCACTGTTCCAAAACCTTATATGTGAACAACCAATTAAACTCAATAATATTCCATAAAAAACTGAATCCTCACACTGTTAGAGATAAATGTAAACAAAGTATAAAAAATTGCAGTTCTACCTTGTGAACTTCAGAGTAAAATAACTAAATAAGGCTGTAAACTAAGAGTGAATAATTAGGATAAATAATAATATTGTATAGTTGAAGAATGAAAAGTTAGATTCAATAAACATCTAGTCATATTCTCGTATATTTTTTTTCTAATTCCCTTCCATTCTACTCTTTCCCATCTTCTCCTATATGTCATTCCTTCCTTCCATCCTTCTCCTTCTCCTAAACAGCATTTCTTCCTTCCCTCTCCCTCTCCTATCCACCTGTTAATTATCTGTTCCTCTGAGGTTCCTATCTTTAACTTTCGGGGCAAAATCTTACATTTTTTCCCTTTCCCCTCAGATTGTTGTATCATTCATCTCTTCATCATGTCACTGCGAGGTCATGCTCACGTCAGTATCCTAGTCATGATCACGTCCCAGCCGGGTCATGTTCACAACCCCAGCTGGCACCAGTAACAACACTGAACTTCGCCTCTAAGACAAGCTGCCACAAGAGTGGTAATACGTTATCAGTCTGATAGTCTTCTCAGCTTTAGCACATCAATGATGCCACAAACGGTGCCATAGATGGCAACTCAGATGAGAGTCACGAATAGTGCCACGTACAGTGTCACGGACGATGGCCACGGACGGTGCCACGGGCGAGGTCACGAAGAGTGCCGTTGTCTTTGCGGAAATTGGAGGAACATCGCGCCAGAACTCTGATGGTATTACCGCCTGACGAGAGCGTCCTGATGTGCCTCCCGGCCCAGAGCCTTCCTGATTAGATGGAAAAGGAGGAGACAGAAGAGGAAGAAGAGAATCGAGAGAGGAAAAGGAGAAATAAAGAAGAGAATAAACACCGAGGAATTGCGAGGAATGAAGAAAAATCAGGAACAGAAACCTCAGGAAATTTGGAACCCCGGAATATTTGAATAAAGAAAGAGAGAGAGAGAGGAGGAATACCAAGAAAGGAGAGAGAGAAAAGCCGAAGAGAAAGTGGAACGCAAGATTTTTGTCACGATGTGCTGTAAAATAAAGGAGAAAAATCTTTGGAACTGCAGAAAGGAGAGGAGAGACGAGATATGACAAGAATGGCAAGAAAGGTAGAGAGAAGGAGGAGGAAATGAGAGGGAGGGATGGAAAAAGATAAAGATGGAGAAGGGAAAGTAAATGGAATGTAGTTTGAATGAAAATCGGGACAGGGACTTGGGAATGGGAAGGACGAAGGAAGGGATGCAAGGGGAAACAAGCAAAGATATCAAGAGGAGCAGGAAATGTGGGAAAGGGGAAGGAAGGGTGGGAAGGTGGAAGTCAATGTATAATAAATTAATTACTCTTAGGTGTAAGAGTACCTAAGGCTTAAGGCTTTCATATTTTTGTTTCCACCAAACTGGCAGTAACAGTTCTGTTGTTCATTTGTATCCGTTTTTCAACAGGTATTGATAATGACTTTGTAGTCATATGTATAACCCATTCCCGTTATATATATATATATATATATATATATATATATATATATATATATATATATATATATATATATATATATATATATATATATGTACAACTTTAGAACACTTTCCCACCAGGAGACTCGAACCCTATATATATATTTATATATATATATATATATATTGGTGTATACTGGCAGCAGGTTTTCTTTCAAACATGTTTCATTGAATATGACCGCATATTCTGTATTTATTTTTTTCTGGTTTAGGGCTTCTATCCCTCTAACTATTTTCTTAGCATCAGGGCTTAGCTGAAATAGGAGTTCTCCAAAACTCATTTTCGTAATGTTAAGGTGAAGAAAAGAAGTGAATTACTATAGAATGTATTACACTTATTTATACAATTTGCACAACGTTTCGAACCTCCATGGTTCATTCTCAAGTGAAGAGATTTTACAGGACTGGTTGATTTTATACCCGCACTGGGTCAGGTGATAAGACAATAAAGGTGAAAACATGGGGGGATACATAAGGGATAAATGGGGGGTGAAACATAAGAACATAAGAATAGAGGTAACTGCGGAAGGCCTATTGGCCCATACGAGGCAGCTCCTATCTACATACAAAGATTAATCAAATGTAATTGGCCTGTTATGTTGAACGGTGTCTTCTGTGTTGGCATCGTTATGTTCTGGTCTTGTCCTTACTCTCATGGTGGGTAGAGTAAATAGTTCCGTGATTTGGGTGTTCATGGTAGGTTGTTCTATTCTTATGTGAATTGCTTCAAGAATTTGAAATCTTCTTGCATCTTGGGTTTTGTCTATTATACAGGTATTTTTGTTCAACATTTCTCTTGTTAGGGTGATGTCATGGGCTTGTCTCATGTGATTCCTGGGGGCACCGGATTGAAGATGGCATGTCAAACGCCTCGTCAGCTTGGTCGACGTCATACCTATGTACTTACATTGAAGGTTACATCCTTCGTGGGGGCAAGTGTACATGTATACAACGCTTGACTGCTGTAGAGGGTTCTCCGTCGGCTTCGGGCTGTTTTATAAGGAGTTCGGAAGTCTTCTTGGTTTTGTAGAATATTATCAGGTTTATGTTTTGATTAGGAGTAATATTTTTAATCCTTTACGGATTATTTCTTTCATTATTCTTTCCTCTTTTATATGTTCACTGTGCATGGTTGATTTGTAATATAATTTTATCTGTGCATCACATACCCCATGTATATATAGCAACTAATCATGTTAATTACTCCTACACATATATACATATGTATATGGGTATATACATAGCTATTATTCATGTCAATTACGCCCACACACACTTGTCAAAAGAGCAATATCAAAGATATTGATATATCAAAGATTTAATATCAAAGATTTAACATCAAAATATCAAAGATTTAATATCGAACCTTTGCAGTGGGATCCTCTACAAAAACCGGTTCATTTTCAGGTTTTTATAAATTTCCATATCCTTTGCCTTTATCCTCGAGCACCTTTGTCCTCGAGTACCTTTATCCTCGAGCACTTTATCCTCGAGCACTTTATCCTCGAGCACCTTTATCCTCGAGCACCTTTATCCTCGAGCACCTTTATCCTCGAGCACCTTTATCCTCGAGCACATTTATCCTCGAGCACCTTTATCCTCGAGCACCTTTATCCTCGAGTACCTTTATCCTCGAGCACTTTATCCTCGAGCACCTTTATCCTCGCTCAAGCTCTGTGAGCTGTAGGCAAGATGCCTCTGTTGACGTTTTGTGGTTCTTGAAGACCCTTGGTAGTTCTTGTAGACGCCAGGTGGTTCTTGAAGACCCTTGGTAGTTCTTGTAGACGCCAGGTGGTTCTTGAAGACCCTTGGTAGTTCTTGTAGACGCCAGGTGGTTCTTGTAGACGCCAGGTGGTTCTTGTAGACGCCAGGTGGTTCTTGTAGACCCTTGGTAGTTCTTGTAGACGCCAGGTGGTTCTTGTAGACGCCAGGTGGTTCTTGTAGACGCCAGGTGGTTCTTGTAGACGCCAGGTGGTTCTTGTAGACGCCAGGTGGTTCTTGTAGACGCCAGGTGGTTCTTGTAGACGCCAGGTGGTTCTTGTAGACCCTTGATAGTTCTTGTAGACGCCAGGTGGTTCTTGTAGACCCTTGGTGGTTCTTGTAGACGCCAGGTGGTTCTTGTAGACGCCAGGTGGTTCTTGTAGACGCCAGGTGGTTCTTGTAGACGCCAGGTGGTTCTTGTAGACCCTTGGTAGTTCTTGTAGACGCCAGGTGGTTCTTGTAGACCCTTGGTAGTTCTTGTAGACGCCAGGTGGTTCTTGTAGACGCCAGGTGGTTCTTGTAGACGCCAGGTGGTTCTTGTAGACCCTTGGTAGTTCTTGTAGACGCCAGGTGGTTCTTGTAGACCCTTGGTGGTTCTTGTAGACGCCAGGTGGTTCTTGTAGACGCCAGGTGGTTCTTGTAGACGCCAGGTGATTCTTGTAGACGCCAGGTGGTTCTTGTAGACGCCAGGTGGTTCTTGTAGACGCCTGGTGGTTCTTGTAGACGCCAGGTGGTTCTTGGAGACACCAGGTGGTTCTTGTAGACACCAGGTGGTTCTTGTAGACGCCAGGTGGTTCTTGTAGACGCCTGGTGGTTCTTGTAGACGCCAGGTGGTTCTTGTAGACGCCTGGTGGTTCTTGTAGACGCCAGGTGGTTCTTGTAGACGCCAGGTAGTTCTTGTAGACGCCAGGTGGTTCTTGTAGACGCCAGGTGGTTCTTGTAGACCCCAGGTGGTTCTTGTAGACGCCAGGTGGTTCTTGCAGTAGCACCCCGTTCTTGTAGATAGTATCTGCTTTTTTGAAGAAGTCAGTGGGATCCTGTAAAAGATAGTTATCTGTTATCTGGTCCCCGTAAGGTAGAACGATAATGTAGAGGAGGAGGAGGAGGAGGAGAAGTCGTAGAAGGATGAGGAGTGAAAGAAAAGACAGAAAGGAAGAGAAGCAGGAAGGACAAGGAAGAATGAGAAGCAGAAGAGAGTCAAGGAGTGATCGCTTAGCGAGAGAGAAAATAAATATGCAACTGAACTGGAAAGAGAAGAAGGAGTGAGAGGGAACGGAAGAAATGTGGAACGAGGGAGATGGAAGAGAGATAGAGGCGGAGGAGAGGGCTGAAGGAAGAGGAGAAGGAGCAGGAGGAGAGTGGAGCCATCCAAGTTGATTGATGTGATAATTTAATATACCAGGGTTGACTAAATTGCTGGGCCATAGCCCCAATAACACACACACACACACACACACACACACACACACACACACACACACACACACACACACACACACACACGTGGCTGGAAGACAGAAGAGTTAGGGGGGTCATGACCACCACATACAAGATTCTCAAATAAATTGATAGGGTAGACAAAGACAGTTTATCTAACACTAGGGGACACAGGTGGAAATTGAGTGCCCAAATGAGCCATAGAGATTTTATGATTTTGTTGTTAGTATCAGAGTAGTTAACAACTGGAATGCATTAGGATGTGATGCGATGAAGGCAGACTCCATACACAGTTGTCACTAAAGTTCAACCCAAGTAAATGTAAGGTAATGAGACTAGGTGTCGGAAATTGGAGGCCAGATAGTGGATACCGAATGGGAGATGAAGTCCCTCACGAAACGGACAGAGAGAAACATCTAGGAGTTGATATCACACCAAACCTGTCTCCTGAAGCCCCTCAAAAGAATAACATCGACGGTGTATGCAATGCTGGCTAACATCATAACTGCCTTCAGTAACATGTGTAAGGAATCATTCAGAACCTTGTACCACGTATGTAAGACCAATCCTGGAGTATGAGGCCCCTGCATGTAGCTTGTATCTTGTCATGCAGTCAAGGTTCTTAGTGAGAAACATGCCCATTGACTGGCCTGGCCACCTGAGTGAGAAACAAGCTTGATCCACATGCAGGCGATGAATCACAATAACGTGGCTGAAGTATGTTCACCAGACCACACACTAGAGAGCGAAGGGACGGCGACGTTTCGGTCCGTCCTGAACCATTCTCAAGTCGCACAATCGACTTGAGAATGGTCCAAGACGGACCGAAACGTCGTCGTCCCTTCACTTTCTAGTGTGTGATCTGGTCAACAAGCTTGATCCACCTGACTCCATGATGCCCACCCAGATTCTCCCATATAAAACACGTGTGAGTGGTCTGTAAACATCTCCCAATAGGCGACGAGGTATCTCAACCCTCACTCCTACCTTCCCTACCTCCCTCCCTCCCTCCCTACCTCCCTCCCTACCTTCCCTCCCTACCTTCCCTCCCTCCCTACCTCCCTCCTTACCTTCCCTACCTCCCTCCCTACCTCCCTCCCTACCTTCCCACCCTCCCTACCTCCCTCCCTACCTTCCCTCCCTCCCTACCTCCCCTACCTCAAGAATTACTGCACAAGAGACGCCACCTGCAACACCTCCAAAGAGATGTATCCCCCCGTGCACGAGCAAAGCCATTTGCAGTCTCATATTATCGGAAATATTCAAATTTATGGAGTTATGGATCTGGTCTTGGTAATGGGTTGCCTGTCGAAACACACAAATGGTGATATCAGTCCAGTGTGCAACAGACCGGGCCGCGGGGCAGATGATCCCCGGAAGTTACACCTAGCTAGCCACAACAGCCTCGTGTAACTGTGTAACTGAAGTGTGTGGGTAATGTATTCTTACTCAGCTGGGTCTTACTCAGTGGTGGTTCTTCCCTGTTCTTGTTCAGCGGATGATAACCCAAAATATGTTATTATCCGTGTTCTTCTAGTTATTCTAAGGAAGCTTTTCTTTGCTGTTCTTACTTCGTAGTGATAACTTAGCTGCAAGTCATAAGCTAATGTTACACAGCTGGGATGACCCAGCTACGAGTACCAAGATCTATGCACCCAGCTGATCTTAGAAGTTCTTTATCAACTGTTCTTTCTTTTTGTTCTTTCATGACCGTGATGTTCTTTAAAAGCCTTTCTGCTCCAGCTTTTCTTGTTCAACTTACCAAGCTGTTCTTGGGGGAGTTTATCATGTTGTTCTTAATCAGTTCTCCAAACTATTCTTCGTCAGGTTGTTAAGCTGTTCTCGACTACCATTTCTCACCAAGAGCCACTAACTCAGCTGCAGTTACGCAGCTGCTGCTGTTCCCCAGCTGCTGTTCCCCAGCTGCTGTTCCCCAGTTCCCCCAACAGCTGGGGGAACAATGAATGGAGTTAAAGTCTATTACTTCACCCTCTAATTCATTCACCTTCCTGGCCAGACTGTGAGGACATATTTCCTTCCTCTCGCTGTTGTGTGTTCCACTGTGTTGTCCTGCTCCCACTCCATTGTTGTCTGTCTGTCCCTGTCTTCCTCTTTGTCTGTCTGGTGAGGGGATACTCACTTAGTTGAGCTCTGGCTCTGTGGTCTCGCCTCTCAACTGTCAATCAACTGGTGTACAGATTCCTGAGCCTACTGGGCTCTATCATATCTTCATTTGGAACTGTGTATGGAGTCAGCCTCCACTACATCACTGCCTAATGCATTCCACCTGTTAACTACTCTGACACTGAAAAAAGTTCTTTTTAACGTCCCTGTGGCTCATTTGGGTACTCAGTTTCCACCTGTATCCCCTTGTTCGTGTCGGAAAATCCGACACCATTTAATATCATACAGACAGATAAGAGCTGTGTTGTATAAACAAGTTACCCATAGAAAACGTAACTTGTAGTGGAATTACCGTCTAAAGAAAACGGGATATCATCACCACATACTATTATAATTCACCACCTATTATGGTGGGAATTGTTCTTAAATACATTAGTCTTTGGACTTTACCATCATAAAAACATCTTATATAAATTAACTTAATTATCAATATTAAAGTAGAGTAAATGTGACCCTTCTATCACTTTCTGAAATCTGGACAAAGTAGGCCAGGCGTCAGTGAGGAAGGAGGGCAGCCATTGTTTTGTTTATATTGAGACCAGAGGCTCACACGGGAGCAAATTCGGCTCCTGTTAAATTTACTTGGACGTAGTGTTATGGAACCCAAAGGTGTACCATTGTCAACACGCTGTCTACAAATACAAGTTAAGTGTCTATCCGAAACCCGTTTATCATTCATTTATGGCCATTAATGTCAGGATATAGGGTTAGCCGGTTAGAACGCGAAATCGCCTCATACTAAAGGTCAAGACGAGGATGCAAGATTATGTGCACCAGTTACTGGGTGATAGAAGCTACCTCAAAGAGGATAATTTGGTGTCTACACTCTAGTTATACCTGGTGGACTAGCCTGCTGTACTATAAGAGAAGGAACCTCATCAATGTATGTAGCTATTACTGTAATTTGATTGGCTGCATATGTGTAATATAAACCCCCCCTAATGTGTAGAGGATCGATTTGTGAGATTAAGAGATTATTGCAGAAATACAGTCCACTTATCATTATACAAATTGCTATCGAATTATATAAATTAACGTAAATATAAATTCATATAAATTAAATAAATATAAATCTCACAGGTCGGTTCCCACATTATTTGGTCATCTTCGAACCGGATGACGGATTATTTGATCCTTTGAACCCACATTTGGTCATCTTAGTACCGGATGAACCAGTGAACCAAACCAGTGGATTCATTAAATATACTAGTGCAGTGTTATTTAAACAAAGCCAGTCAAGACAGCGGCGTTGCCTCGTGGGAGCCTCCCTCAGCCCAGATCAGCCTTAGTCAGCGGTTTCATGCACACCCACAGAAATTTGGTGGCGTGTTATTTCGTGAAATGACAGCGCTAATATAGAATCCAGCCAAATTAGTGACTGTGTCTTCGCGAGATTGTTCACGGATTTCGTGGTGTTACATTTCGCGAGAGATTATCCACGAATTTTGTGGACTTTATTTCGCGAGGTCACTAATAACATTTAATACTTCTAGATAATATTAGAAGTTTCATAGAGGCTAATTAAGAGGCTATTATCAATAATTGTGTATATTATTTCTCCAAGATAGAGAATTATTTAATATATATTGCACTAGTGATCACAGTATAATATTTACTAATTGCCAACCCACAACAGGGTAGGATATTAACCATTGACTAGTTGAACTATTATCGTTCATCCTAGTCCCATTATTACCATAGTCAGTTGTACTATATTGATTAACCTAGCACCATTAATGAATGGTCCAGACCCTATTTTGGGTGTAATTTTTATCAACTCGAGTTGAGTTGTATATATAATAAATTACTTATGATCATTACACCTTTGAGTGATTAATTAGTGTCTCTACCATCCTAGGGTGATATAGAAGAGCTAACCTAAAGGTACTTCCAGTGACACTGGTTTATCACTCAAATCATTAGTGTGTATGATTGTATATATATAATGTGTATTAATTTTAAGTGCTAACCTCTAGTAGAGGTAGGATTATTGCCTAGTGAGTTCAGAATTTACCCTAGGCTACCATTAGTGTTTGTTCAGTATTATGAGCAGCCCAAGTACAAGTCCCACAAGGCTTCACCAACGAGCCAGTATGGATAATGCAGGGAGAATGAAAAGAACCCTTGCAGGTCTTAAAGGCCACTTAACAAGACAGATCAAGAAATGTGAAGATTTGTCACAACAATCTCAAGTTGATTATGCTGACCTGGAAAGCTATTATCAAGCAGCTGCAGGTAAATTTGAGCAAATCAAATGCCAAATAGCAACATATGTGGCTGAACTTGCCAACACCAATTTATCAGAAACAGAAATAGACGACATTATGGTTGATCTTGCGAATTATGAAGATCACACTCAGGCCACGTTACAGCCTTATGTCAAATTAATTGCCCAGAACAAGGCAACAGCAACAACAACAACAGTTGCATCTAATACGAGTCAAGCAGAAGCTCGACTCCCTCCAATTAATTTACCCACTTTCTCAGGAAAAGATGAGGAAGATTGGGACGAATTTTGGAACAAATTCGTTGACCTTGTAGACTCAAAACAATCTTTACCAAAGAGTAGTAAATTCTCTTATTTACAAGGCCAATTATCAGGTGAGGCTAAAACAGTAGTATCCCATCTGAGATTAACTAATGACGGCTATGATCTGGCAGTAAAACTCCTCAAGGATAATTATGCTGATCCAGAAGTAAGAACATCACATTTAGTTCATGAGCTGTTGCATTTACCCCCACCGGAGGCTTCAGCTGATTCACTCCAAGTCTTCAAGCTGGAGGTAGAATCATTGATCAATGCCCTCAGCCTGACAGCAGATACAAACGGGGCTGAGTGGGTCTTGAAAATAATTGTCCAGGAGAAAATACCTAGGGACATATTGAGACAAATGAGTGCTCATTACAATAAAAGTATCTTATCCATGAATGAAATATCTGAAGGTTTAAAGTCAGTAGTTCATCAATTACGAACACATGACAAATTAAAACCACCAAGTAAACCCTCAGAAACCAATAATAGTAAACCACAGAGTACCAAAGGTACTCCAAATCAATCTAGACAATATAATTCAACACCAAAGTGGAACAGTGGCAGTGTGGGCGTATATGCAGTGGGACCCTCCAAGCCTATAGTTACTGTGTCACCCAAGAACGTGACACCAAAGGGTACAGGAAGCTATGGAACATGTTTGTTCTGCAATGAGAAACATTCAATGTACCACTGCTCTAATTTTCCTGATAGTGACGCCCGTGTTGAGCGACTCAAAGATTTGCAACATTGCACGAGGTGCCTCAGGAAACATAACATCAAGGATTGTGATACCCAATTACACACCTGTAATAGGTGTAACAAAGGTCAGCACCATGCAGCATTGTGCAGAGACACCAAAACAACGTCTCCAAACCCCAAGGTGGAAGATAGCATTCCCACCACAGTACAGTACTGCAAGGTGCAACAAACAAAGAGTGCCCAATCGGCAAAGTCTAAAGGTAATACGACTTTGCCTACTGCCCAAATTACCATCCTGAATAAGAGGGCCAAGGTCCATACCCGTGGGTTGTTTGACCAAGGATCCCAGAGAACATACATCACCAAAAAGTTGGCAGATGAATTACAATTAAGGCCTGTAGCCCAGATGTCATTCAACATCTCAGGGTTTGTAACAGATGCAGGACCTCAAGTCTACCAGGTGGTACAACCATCAGTACGCTTAGGCAGGTACGTCTGTCGAGTACAAGCCATTGTGGTGGACAAAATACCAGTAGACCTACAAGTTCAAGGTCTGCGAGCAACAGCCAAATTCCTGAGAAATAGAGGAATAAAATTGGCAGATAATATTAAGACTGATCACCTCACTGACTTCGGTCTCCTTGTAGGGACAGACTATTGTCATCGATTCATCGGTAGCCCTACTAAATATCAGGGCATAACCATGTTAAACTCTGCAGGAGGTAAATTACTCTCAGGCCCAGTATCAAGCCTGAGGAGACCTATGCCTGCAGATAAACAATACCAGTAGAAATCTAAATTTGTCAGCTGATTATATTTCTCCAGTATCATTATACTAAGGAGATTACAGCTGACTATAGTAACAGAGGTTGATGTTAGTATCATCATTTGAAGCTGAAGATGAGTTCATGAGGCCTCAGTAGCAAGTCAGTGAACAGTAGCCTAAAACAGCTACAAGTCACTGCGACCAATGTCACTGAACCCACTGCAGTCTCAGAACCATACTTTACTTTAATGATGAGCTATTCAATCTTCTGAATCAATTAACTAAATTAAACCCCAATAAATCTGATGACTGATTTGATACATTTATTATTTAATCAAGATGTATTCCATGGGCCTCAGTGTTTATATATCAGTGACCAGTTACCTGAAGAAACTTCAAGTTATATCTAAAGTCACTGATCTCACTGCAGTCCCTGAATCATACTTGACTGTAGTACTTGATCACATTCAGTCTTCTGGGTTAAATAATATGTATAAGGCTTGAATATTAGCCTTTCAAGAGTTGACAGGGAAATGAAATCGCATTAGACTTCTAACCCCTGCAACTCTAGTACGGGACATCCGTCCTGTACGAACAGACACACAAA